TGGTACCGGGGAATGAACTCAGGACCCTGCGCTTGCTAGGGAAGCGCTTATTCTACTGAGATATCTCCCCGGCCCCTCTAGCTGGCTCTTGAACTGATGTTTTCATTCTATTGTCAAAGTAGATCCATGTGGATAATAATGAATATGGGTTACTGTACTTACATATTTTATATAATAATATACATAAAAGGATTAAAATAAGTGCTTTAGCACATGGGCTAAGTAAAAAGCTTTATCTTATGTCCTCTAATTCTTCTGAATCTGGGGATTGAACCCAGTGTGCTGAGCTACATTCCAACACCTTTTTATTTATTTTTACTTTGAAATAGGATCTCTCATTAAGTTCCGTAGGCTGGCCTCAAACTTGTGATCCTACTCTCTTAGCCTCTTACATAGCAAAGATTACAGGCAGGCACTACTGCAACCACTTTAACTCATACTTCCATCTTTTTTTAAAAAAAGTTTATTATGCTTTGCTTCTACATTACTTAATCTACTTTCTCTATAAGATTTATTGTTAGGTGCTATTCAAAATTTAGTAATATGATCCTTTCATATTTTCACATATAAAAAGTTATACTCGCTGCTATGATGTCTCTTGGGTAGGTGGATTTTCAAGAAGGGGGTGGTGAAGGAAAGCAAGAAACAGGAAAAGGAATATTGTGGGACTGTCATGCTTCAAGGTTGTATATGGTGAGATTTTTGGACTTATGTACAAACATGAGAAGTATATAATTCTTTATCCTATTTTTAAACTATAATCTAATTTTTAAATTTTTTTATCATATTATGTAGGGACTTAAAGCTCAACATATCAATACTTGATGAAAAATACCTGTTCCTTATTATGCCTAAGATGTTTGAAATGCAGAGAGATAGTGAGGTTAAGCTTAATAGCCTAAGTCGTTTGATAATAACAATAAGCTTGTCTTCTGGATGGTTAACAACCTAAGTTTGCAGACCAAAATTAGAGAAAAAGGAGGGCTGCAAGGACAGTCAACATTTTGGCCCTAACCTTCTAAGGTCAATTAAGACTCAGGACATATGAGAACTTGTACTGTAACATAATGTACCTCGGTAGTGTCCCAAATTTTCTGATCAAGGAGATTATGGGGCCAAAGAGGAAAGTGATCAATGATGTAGTGTGTGTCTAAGGAGAGTCACATGGAGAGAAAACACTCTCTCAGGCTTTCACAGAGAGCACATTGGCCAAGCTATGGCCGTGACTCATCCACATGGCTGACACTGACAAAGGTTCTACAATTGGAGGTACAGGATCCCAGGATAAATCCTGAGGGGATTTCACTGACCTTATCAGACCCAAAAGCTACAACTCTTCTTGCATAGGTCCTGCTTTACCTTGGTCTTAACCATCCAGTAGAAAAGTATGAAGACGAAATATAGGAAGTAAAGCCATGATGTTATGTTGAGCTGTGGGGAACTCAGGTCAATAATTTCTGACATTTCCAGTTAAACAGAAGGCCCATTGCTATTATGGGCTACTGGACTCTTTTAGAATATTTTGCTGAGTTTACACACCTATAATATTCAAATAACGGAACTTAGAAAAAAAGCGGTATACAGATGAATGTCCATTTTGTATCTGTGTATTCAAAGTGGATGGGATAGATATATAGTTACATTCTCTTAATGAATAGAATTATTTGTTCTAATGGTGTTTGTAAGTAGGATCTCAAGTCCACATCTTGTACAGCAATTAACCACTAAGAAGAATGTATGCAGTGTGTTGGTTTTTGAAACTGTCCTAGCGATTTGGTTTGAAACTGTCTCATTGCTATCTGTTTATCAATAAAATTATGAAAAAAAAGTTATACTTGGGGCCGGGGAGATGGCTCAGTGGAATAAGCGCTTCCCTGGCAAGAACAAGGGCCTGAGTTCAATCCCCGGTTCTGCCAAAAAAACCCAAAAAACCAAAAAACAAAAAAAACAAAACAAAACAAAAAAAAAGTTATACTCTAAAATGAAGCTGTAAGGGCCAGGGAGATGGCTTAATGGAATAAGTGCTTCCCTGGCAAGCACAAGGGCCTGAGTTCAATCCCCGGTTCCACCAAAAAAATAAAATAAAATAAAATAAAATGAAGCTGTTTCAACTATGACACTTAGATTCTACACACAATAACATCCAGTCAAGTCTTTTCTAATATACAGCACCAATACAATTTATAATAGCTACTACATTAGTGATACTGAAGAACTTCATTACAGCAATAGTAAAAACGTTTTAAGAAAATGAGGGGGGTGCAAGATAGCTCAGTGGACTAAAGTGATCCCTGGCATCAAATGCTGCGCCAGCCCCACCCCCAGGGAGGGTGTGCTGGCCAGAGTATAGGCGTTGTATATGCCTGTAATACCAGCGCTGGGGAGGCTGAAAAAAATAGGAGTATCACTATGAGTCCAAGGTGCATACTGAGACCCTGTAACAACCAAATACATTAAAAAAAAGAGAGAAGAAAGCAAGGGCTGGGGTTGTAGTTTAGTACTAAAAAGCCTGTCTAGCATGTGTCAGGTCCTGGGTTCCATCCACAGTACTACAAAAAAATAAAGGACGGATTAAAACCAACTGAGTTTCAGATGTTATTATGAAATTACTGTTTATTTTGTTAATTGTAATAACAGTATGTTCACATTAACAGATATAGATATGCAAGATAGGACAAATAATTGAACATTAACACTTACTTTCAGATTTGATGATTTGTTAATTTGCTATTTTTGTTTTGAAAATCTGTATCATATGTATGGTTGTATGTTACTCTTAGTTTTTTTATGTATTTAGCATGGGATGTACAGGTTCTCACTACATAGATTGGACTCATAGTGATCCTGTTTTCAGTATTCCAAGTGCTGGGATTACAGGTGCATGCCACCACACCCAGTCTCAGTCTCTGTCTCAGTGTGCCTTGGGGCAGGGCTGGCATGGCACCCTGGAGATCAAATGTTGGTCCCTTTGTCTGTCTAAGCAGGTGCTTTAGTCTGCTGAGCTGTCTGGCCGGCCCTTCTGTCTTTGGTTTTACTCTTTAAAATAAAACCAAATTTAAAAAAAGAAATAAAGCAGAATATTTGTCCCAAATTAAAAAAATAAGTGTTACAGACTGAGTATTTGTGCATCCCAACATTTGTACCCTATAGCCCTAATGTTCTGTGTAATGGCAACTGGAAGTAGGCCTTTAGGAAGTACAGCTATGAGTTGCAGGATGTTTCTGCCAAGGAGGGACCACATATATAAAAGTGGTACGTGCGATTACAATGCAGCCTAGAAAATCCTATCACCAGCTGACATCTCAGCCATCCTATTGTTGTAGCACAGTACACTATTGAAGTGTTTGTGGTGATGCTGTTGTAAACATTACTATGCCATTAGCCATATGCAAGCTTAGCATGCATGATTAGGTACAGTCCATAATATTTAATAATAAATGACTATGTTACTGGTTTATATACTTACAACACTATAGTCTTCCTCATTTATTTTCTTTTTTTAAGGTCGTTGGTTTTTGTTTTTTTTTTTTTGGTATAGGGTCTCACTACACAGCTCGGACTTGTAGAGATCCTCCTGATTTCTGCCTCCCTAGTTCTGGGATTACAGGTGTGCGCCACCATTCCCGGACTCCACTGCCAGCTCAGTGTGCCCCAGGGCGGGGCCGGTGTGGTATGTGGTGCCCAGGATCAAACCCTGGCCCTTGCACTTACCTAAGCACTTAGCTTAAGCTAAGCAAGCACTTAGTCTGCTGAGCTATGTTGCTGGCCCTATTTTATCATTACTTTAAGAGTGTATATCTTCGCTTCGGCCCAGCAATACTTTAAATAGGTTTAGATGAGGTTATGAGGGTGAAAGCTCCCTGATGGGATTAGTGTCCTTCCTTATAAAAAGAGGAAGAAAAACAAGGGTGTTTATGTACCAAACCCTTTCCCCAGCTGCCATGAGGAAACCATAGGGAGGCAGCCCCGCCAAGGGCCCCCTAAGGAAATGGACACCTTGATTTTGACTTTTTCAATCTCCAAAACTGTGAGAAAGAGATGTTTGTTGTTTATTTACACAACTGGTGGTGTATTTTTTATGACTTTTTATTAATAAATCTTTGCAACTTGTGCAGTTTTACAATCATATTGGGAGTGGTTACATGTATATTTTACCACTTGTTCCTTTTTCTGCTCCTTCCTCTTCCCCCTGTGGTATTTTATTTAGCAGCTTAAGCAGACAGATGAACATATAACATTAAGCACTTGTGAGGCTGAGGCAGGAGGATAACTGTGAGCTCAAGGCCAGCCTGGGCTACAAAGTGAGTTAAAGGCCAACTTGAACTATATGGAGATCAAGACTCTGTCTCAAAAACAAAACAAAAAAAATGTGCCTAGCAACACTGGCTATATGTAAGATGAAGTAATTTATATACAGCAAAATATCTACACCAAAGTACTATAGCAAAAAAAAGAAGTTGAGGGAAGATATCAAGCAAGGTTAGTGAAGTATTGATAATTTTATTTTACTTTATTCTGTATTTAGGACAGGGTCTATGGGGTCTACAGGGTCTCACTATGTAGATCAGACTAGTAGTGATTCTCCTGTTTTCAGCCTCACAATTGCTGGGATTACAGGTGAGTGCCACCACACCCTGTCTCAATTGCAGTCTTAGCACACCCCTCGGGCAGGGCTGGCATAGCAGGCCAGGGGATAATTTTATTTTTTGAGATGGGATCATACAATGTTGCCCAAGCTGGCCTCAAACTCATGATCTCCCTACCTCAGCCTCCCAAAGTAATGATTACAGAAACGGACTGACAGGTACCTGAGGTTTGGTTATATTGTTCTCTACACTGTTGTATATTTTTCAAGTTTCTCATAATAAAGATTTTTAAAATGTTTTCCCTAAGAGTGATACAACAGGACATAAATAAATGGGCCCACTGAGTGACATAAAATATTATTCATAAATAAGAGATTTTTTTTATTCTTGCTTTTTAACAACAGCCACACATACCCTTCTGCAGAGAAGTCTGACTTGATTGATCTTGTGTAGTATCTTTCTGAGCACTCACTAGATCTGCAACTAGAACCTCAAGTGATACATAGTTGCTCCCAGATGTCTGAATTTTTTCTTCCATTATTTTCTTAACATCCCTGAAACTAAATCCCATTCGTATAGCTTCTTGTACCATAGGATTCTGGAAGATGGTATCATCTGAAATGAAAATTGGGAGGAGAAAAAAAAAGTTTAAACAAATATTTTAATTACCGCAACCCAACAACAAAATAGATTAAAATACAAAACAAAAACAAAAACAAAAAATCCAACCAAAACTCCAGCGCACCAAAGAGAAAGGTATGAAAAAGACTGCTTTGGAGGAGAAAATTTTTTGAAATATTTAAGCACTGAAAAATCATTTTCAGAAATTTTATAATTCCTCAGAAATGCTGTAAGTATATATCACTATTCAAGTTGCCGGTTATGGTAGTGCAAGCCTGTATTCGCAGCACTCTGGGAGGCTGAGGCAGGAGGATTGCAAATCTAAGCTCTGCCTGGGCAACTTAGTGAGACATTGTTATAAAATAAAAATGGTTGGATATTTAGCTCATTGCAAAGGCCTTGGGTTCAATTTCCTGTACTGAAAAAAAAAAAAATAAACCCACAAAAAACAAAAACAAAAAACCTAAAATTCATACAAAAGACCTTTAATTCCCCAAACAATTCTGAGCATAAAAAGAAATGCTAGAGGTACCACAACAGCTGATTTCAAAATATACTAACTACACAACCATAATAACAAAAACAGCATGGTGGTGTGGACCTATAATCTCAGCTACTCAGGAGAGAAAGGAAGGAGGACCACAAGTTTAATCCACATTCCCAGCCTTTCACTAAAATATTTTTTAGAGAGAAGGCAGAAAAGGGAGACACACAGGAATTTGATTATCAGGAGTATTATATGCTAGGTAACATTAAGATTTGTATTTGAAAAAGAAAATTACTTTTTGGAGGTTATAATGCAGACAAAGGGTTAATTAGGAGACCATTGTAATAGTCCAAATGAAAAAAGGGGCTGAAGTGAGGCTTGGTGGTCCATTCTTGTGATCTCAGCACTATGTAGTCTGAGGTAGGAGGGTACTGAGTTGGAAGCCAGCCTCAACTACATAATGAGACTATGGAAAAGACAAAAAGAAAAAAAGAAAAAAGGAAAGGAAGAAAAAGAGGATAGGGGATAACAACTGTCACAAAGGATATAGAGAAACACTGCTGACAGGAATGTCAAACGGCGTATTCACTTTGGAGAACTGTCTGGCAGTTCATGAAATGGTAAAAGGTATCACATGACCCAATAATTCCATCCCTATATTCCCAGGAAAATTACAAATATGCCTGCCAAAAAACTTGTACAAAAAAGTTCATAGCAGAATCATTCACTATAGAGTCAGCCAGCCAGCTCAACAAACTAAAGCAATTGTTTAGGCAGAAGCAGGGACCCTCCAGGGTTCGATTCCAGGGGTGCCATGCTGGCCCTGGGGCGCTGAGACAGTGATCAAGACTGGGTGTGGTGGCATGCGACTGTAATCCCAGCATTTAGGAGGCTGAAAACAGGAGGATCACTACGAATCTGATCTGTGTAGTGAGACCCTGTACTATATACATCAAAAATAAGTAAATAAAAGAATCATTCACTATAGTCAAAAAGGAGAAAAAAAGTCTACCAACTTAGAAATCAAAATGTGGTATTATCTATACTACAGGATATTTTTTTGCCATAAAAAATAAAGAGACTCAAGCCAGGGAGATAGCTCAGTGGCATAACTGCCTACCTAGCAAGCGCAAGGCCCCAAGTTCAAGCCCTGGTACTAAAAAAAAAAAAAAAAAAGAAAAGAAAGAATAAATAAGTAAAATAAATAGGCTAATCATGGTGGAGCTACTTTGGAGGCTGGCATGAAGATCATGAGTTCAAGGCAAGACTGGACAACACGGCAAGACCCTATCTCAAAAAAAACAAACAAAAAACATTGTGCCTGGGGTTCTGGGACTGGCACAGCATGCAGTACTGGGAATTAAACCTGGGTCCTTATGCTTGCCAAGCAGGTGCTTAGGCTGCTGAGCTATCGCCCTGGCCCTTCATTTATATCAAAGCTGCAGAATAGGTAAAACATGGAGACAAAGTAGATTAGTGGTTATGTGGGCCTGACAGTAGAAGAATGGGAGTAACTGCTGATGGTTAGGGATGAGGTGTCTTTCTGGGGTGTACATAAGGTACAATTTGAGTGGTGATGAATACAGAAAAGCCACTGGGTTGTACACGTTATAAAGATGAAATACTATATAAACTATATTTCAATGTAAAAACATTAATCCTAAACCAGATCAAGTGCCACATTAGTCATAATGTATAGTATGACAGATGATTAAAAACAAAAAATATCAAGAAATGTTATAGATTCTAAGTTACTTTAAAAATACAGCTAGCAACACTAAGTAATTTCTTAAAGTGTATTGTTTATGCCCATTATAAAATTCACACCAAATAATAGCAACATAGCTCTCCATCTCAAGCATATTTACGACTATACATAGTACTCTCTTGCCTTGTAATCCTTAAGATACTAAACAGATGATGCTACAAGCATAGAGTGGGGAATCACCAGACATATTCTAAATTAAACTTTCTATTTTTGAAACATGCTGCCTAAAATGAAAATGAGACGTGTGTGTGATATAGGATTCAGAAGACCTTGTTTATAGTTCTAGTCCCACTAATGATTTCTAATGTGACAGGGAAGATCACTTCTCTGTTTCTTCATCTGAAAAGTGGGGATAACAATACCTTCTTTGCTTAACAGTATCTTTCTCTACCTACTTTATTTCTTTCAATCAATCAATCAATCAATCAATCAATCAATTTATTTATTTATTTACTTAGGTGCAGGGTCTTCCTACACAGTTCAGACTCATATTGATCCTCCTGTTTTCAGCCTCCCCTGTGCTGGGATTACAGGCATGCACCACCATGCCTGGTTTCGGTGGCACGGCACACCCAGGGGTACAGCATGGCATACCCAGGATCAAATCTGGATCCTTGTGCTCACCAGATAGGTGTTTAGACCGCTGAGCTATCTCCCCAGCCCATCTTCCTATTTTCTATTTTTTTTTCCTGTCTTTCAGTCCTGAGGATGAAACCCAGGGCATGGCTGGTGCTCATCAAGTGCACCACCACTGAGCTACATCTCCAGCCTCTGCATTATTTTGTGAGATCTCTATGTTGCTTCAATTGACCTCATACCAATTCTCCTGCCTTGGCCTCTAAAATAGCTGGGATTACAAGCATGTACCACCTTCTTCCAAAAATTATTTTATATTTTTAGAGATGGAATCTCACTCTGTTGTCCAGAGTGGCCTCAAATTCCTGAGCTCAAGCCACTTTCCTACCTCAGCCTGAATGGCAAAGATTACAAGTATGTACCACCACACCCAGCCTATGCTAACATTATTAATACTCAGAAATACTTGACTTACATTCATAAGCCCTTCTTTAAATTTTTAAATATATAGCAATTTCATCTTTTTTTTTTTCCTGTATTTTAGGGAAAGGTCTACAGGGTGTTCAAGGTCTCACTACTAGATCAGACCCAGTGATTCGCCTGTTTACAGCCTCCCAAGAGCTGGGATTACAGGTGTGCGCCACCACCCTCAGTCTCAATTGCCATCTCAGCACACCCCAGGGGCAGGGCCAGCACAACAGGCTTGGGGATCAAGCCCCCCTGCCCCTGCTTGCAGGCACTTTAATCCACTGAGCTATTTGGTTGGCCCAGCAATCTCATCTTAATGAACGTGGGATAATGACTTTGAAATTATCTCCTTATCTTTTAACCCTATAAATGAATACCTGTGAAAAACTGGGAGCAATATTAAAGACATACTTATTTTAATAGCATATTTACCAATTTTCTGAGTCAATGTAGGTGTTTTTTCAGCAGTTCTTACCTAAAATAGAAATGTAAAACATAAAGAAGTAGTCTTTTTGGTAGAGGGCAATTTAAAAACTTACATTAAACACAAATTTAAAATAAATTGGCTATATTCAATTCAAAATAATAAACACTCACAAGAACCACAGACTAATGGAACAAAAGGAAGTTAAAAGATCATCTAACCCAATCCTTTCACTTTAAAGATAAGAAGCTAAGGCCCCAGAAATTAAATCACTGAATGGCAGCAAGTACAACTAATGGCAGATCCATAGTAACTCTAGTCACCTATTATATTCCATATTTTTATATTACTAATACCTTGGCCATCCCAGTTCTTATCAATTTACATACATTCTATAGATTTTTGCAAGTTGTCTGTACAAAGGTTAAAACTACTTATGAGTGTAAAGTACAAAATATAAAGATGTAATTTCAGAAGGGTAAGGGATTTTAGTTATTTTCATCTTTTTTTTTTTTTTTTGGCGGAACCAGAAATTGAACTCAGGCCCTTGCACTTGCCAGGCAAGCGTGTATTCTACTGATCTATCTCCCTGGTCCCCATTTTCATCTTTCAACTTCAGTTTTGACTACAATGATACTTAAATTAATTAATTTCTAATCCCCTTTTTACAAATTTGCTTCAGGTTAAGAATAAGTTTTCTCTAAGTTCTCTCTTTTAAAGCTCATTACATTTAATATTAATTCACAATGCTGTGCTGTGAATTTCACATGAAAAATAATTACAAAACAAATGATAAAATATCTGAAAAATATATTATGCAATATTAGACTTACCAGAGACTCCTCAAGTGAACAGGTTAAATGAATATTGTTTATATATTCTTGTCCCTTCTCTTCCAACAGATATTTACACCTAAATAACACAAGATTAAACTTTGGCAGCTGATAAATTAGTAAAGTATTAGTAAGGATATTATCTCTATATTTATTGCATTAACTTCCTTTTCATTATTTTGAAGGCTCCATGAAGAATATTACCAATTCTCTATCCAATCATCACTTTAAGGTTAAAAAAGTCCCTGTGTACTAAATAGGACAAAAATATTAACTTCAAAACTTCTAACTTTTAAGCATGTTATTGCGTTAGCACCTTGACATTTTTTCAACAGTTTTAGGTAGTTAATCTTCTCAACATATTTTTTTTTGATGATTAATCAATTGTACATTTAAAATCTTCATTCTCAATCTTTCTTTTCAAGATTACTTAAGGCTAAAATGTCTTTATAAATGATTTTCCTTAAGTTTTAAGTTGTACTATTTTGTAGGCCAGAAATTTAGATCACATATATACCTGGGTGTTTTGTTTTAAAAAGGCAAGATGGCAAAGAGGCATATGGAATGTCATCATCCTAGGATGTCACTGACTGTAATTAGTATGTTTTATCTACCACCTAAAACTGCTGCCAATTAAATTATGATGTTACCAGTCGTGTTCTGATTGCAGAGATCTTAAAATGTAAACAACTGTGTCTTAGAATCAATCACATCCATTAGAATTCCCTAGGACGTATAATGGCTTCTTTAGGACTCTCCTTAGCAACATGGGCTCCCTCAGGTTCATCTCGAAAGAGACCACTTTCAATAAATAAGTACACATTTCCTACTCTGGTGTTTTTGAATGAAATTATAGATATGATATATAAGCAATGAGTGCTTTGGTCACTAGAGAAAGATTAAGTGCTCCTTCCCTGTAAAGTAGGTGACCCTGTTTTTATAAACCTGGTGCGAATTTCAAGCCATAGTGAAGGCAAAAATAGTTGAGGTGAAAAGTAATTCAAATCCTCCCAGCACATACTGTCCAACTTGCCTGTCACTGAGTGAACAATTAAACATCTTACCCAGGATACCACTTGGCATGTTGTTCCCAGGGGTCTTCACTGGGCTTCCAATCAGTTAGTCCTCCTCCACAGTGAAAGCACTTTACTTTATCACCTTCACCTAAGAAAATATACAAGTAACAATGTATGTATTTGTGCAACTACAAGCTACACAAAAATACCCTTTCTAATACCTGGAAATTAAGCCCATCTAATTTACATAAAATCATATAGCTTAAGACATTCCTATCTTCATCTAAAATATGTATCATATACAAATGTATGATCCTGGGGCCGGGGAGATGGCTCAGTGGAATAAGCGCTTCCCTGGCAAGCGCAAGGGCCTGAGTTCAATCCCCAGTTCTGAAAAAAAAATGTATGATCCTTACCATTTGAGGAGAGAATGTACACTAAATTCACTTAACTAGTCCAAACTATTTTATTTTTTAATGTATTTGGTACAGGGTGTTGCTACGCTGCCTGGACTCATAGTGATCCTCCTGTTTTCAGGCTCGGTCTGGGTCGCTGGTTCAGTGCACCCAGGTATCGGGCCAGCATGGCCATGCCAGGGATCAAACCCCAGTCCTTGCGCTTGCCTAAGCAGATGCTTAGTCTGCTGAGCTATCTTGTAGGCCCTAATCCAAAGTATTTTATGGAAAACGACTAAAAATAAAAATGACCTATTTTTATATTAAGAACTACAATTGTTACACTCTTCTTAATTTTTGTCATTTGGGCCACCAATATTGCATTTATTTGTCAAACTGAACTTTAAAGCAAGTTATACAAGTATCAGTAATAATAAACTTCAGCATAATGAAGTTACAAGATAAATTGCTCTAAGGTTATAGCACAATGATATTAAACAGAACTTTAAGGTTAGTGTATGATGTTACATAAATAAAAATTCTGAAATGGGTATTTTCTATTTTGACATTATTTAATCCTAAAATAAATGGGTCAGATATATAGTATGCATTAAATAGTCCCAGAAGCCATCACACTAATTGTCCTTCCTGACATACTTATAGTATCCATTTCAGGCAGGTGTTTTTTTCTTTTGATACCAGGGATTAAACTCAGGACCCTGCACTTTCCATGCAAGTGCTTATGCCACTGAACTATCTCCTAACCCAGCACCCATTTCACAAACACTCATTTGCAACAATAAGTATAATACTAGGCAACTTTTAAATGTATCATCTAGGGGGCCTGCTGGTTAGCTCAGTTGTTTAAGCACCTGCTCGTGCAAATGCAGTCAGGTGCAGGATACCGCAGTTCAATCCCCAGCTCCACATGCCTTACCAGACCGACCTTTAAGGCAGCCTGAGCCAGCCAAAAAAAAACCTATCTTTCAAATATATCATCTATATTTAATGGTAGCTGAGCTCTAATATTAATTCATTTTAGAGTTTTTATGAGCTTTAGAGGAAATGAAGGCTATACACTGAGCACATGTATTAGATGCTTAATAAATGATATCTAGTATTACCATTACAGCCATGTTTCTACCATCCCCCTTTTAAGACAATTATGTAAGTTTAAACATGATTTATAATAATGTCCATTTTACATAAATTCCATAATTATGTAAGTTTAGAAAATAATACTTACATAAATAATCATGCCACCTTATACCTAAATATTTACCAGTGCTGGGGGTTGAAGGCATCTATTTACTGTTTAAGAACCTGGGATAGTTGGAAAGGTTTTGTTTTTTTCTTTACCTAAAGCATAAAATCCAGCTCTCGCGAGCTGCTCCTTGTTAACTGAGTATGTCCACGTCCCAAAAGTAATGATCCGGGCTTCATACTCTGCCATGGCTGGATTTCTTGGAAGAATTGTTGAATTTGGGAAATTCCTATCAGAACTCACATCAGATTCACTTCGAACATTAATATTCCGGCCCAAAACAAAGAAGCAGTTCGGAAAGTGTCGTCTGTGTTCAGACCAGGCACGGTCACAAGGTTCCCAATTTTTCAGTTTTCCACCACAACAGAAGCACTGCACTTGATCGTCAATACCCGTATAGTAGAGTCCAGCACTAGCTAACTCCCTGGGAGTCAGGTGGGCATAGTCTGGCCAGTTCTGGAATGATTTTAATCTAGCTTCTTCACTACACATGGCAGGATTCCTTGGGTATACAGTGTCTGATATATCTACAACCTGTCCAGTTCGTAAAAGATAGTCTGCACGAGTCTCAGGTGGTCTATCTACAGGAAAATGATTTCTGCTTCCCAGATAGTTTTCAGCTTTGCACTGACCATTTTGGACACCAACATTTGTAGGCTGTGCAGCACTATTTTCAAAATAAAATCCGTTGATAAATCTACAATTTGGGGATACTTTCCTGTGTCTTCCAACTGCTGAATCTCCATATTGCCATCTATCCACTGCTGCATGACAACTAAAGCAGCGCACGGTATCTCCTTCACCGGTATACAGAAAACCTGCTCGGGCCAGTGTTGATGCTGAAACAGGGCTACTACTTGGAAAATTAGCAAAAGTTTTTAATCTATTTAACTCTTCTACAAATTCTCCATCCTTACTGATGTCTGCAGTCACACAAGCTTTAGATGCTTCAAAACTGTTACAAGTCATCTTCTCTTGAAAACAGGATTTGTCCACTTTTTCTAAAAAGAGAACACTGCATTAGGAAATCCAAAGTGTGAAACACTGCAATACGTGTTTGGTATGAAGACCAAGAACTCATCAACTGATGACATAAAAATAACTTAAAATCACTAAAACACATTCAAAATATAATTTTTTTTGTAGTACTAGAGATCGAACTCAGGACCTTTTACTTGCCAGGCAGGTGCTTATGCCACTGAGCTCTCTCTCCAGCCCTAACACATTCAAATTCTGAATACTAGAACTCTAATTTACCACACCATTCAAATCATACAGTAAAATCTCATATTTTTATTTTATTTCTCTATTATGGTGCTGGAGACTGAACCCAGGGCTTCACACCTGCTAGACAGTAAGAACCATTGAGCTACACCCCTAGCTCTCTGCTTTCTCTTTTTGTAGAAAGTAATATTTAAACAAGTACAAGAAAACAACTTATAAGTGCTTATTTTATATAAATATGGAAACTGTGATGCATAATATACTATAATTAAACATGTAAATCATTAATTAGGAAAAACATGAAAGAAGCATAAAATATGCATGTTCTTAAAGTTTATACATAATTGTCATGATGGGTCATTGTATATTCAAGGCAGAGTTCAGTTTTCACAATTAAAAAAATAAATGTTCAGAATGTTAATGAATTAATTTTAAATATTTGTTCATGTTCCTACACATTGAGGATAAACTACTTCTGATTTTCTGCATAAATAAGTTCATTTTTGATAGAAGGGGATCATAAATATATTTAAGTATAAATAAACATATAAAAATACTGCCCTCTACAGGGTAGATGAAGAAAATCCTAAGTATTGGTAGACCTTAATTGCAGTTACTTTTGCTATCAATTTTCCTTGGTCAAGGAACAATCTGTTCAAACAGAAGATAATTTGGCAGCCTAATTAGAGCTGCCAAATTACAGCTATGTAATATCTAAGGAGCCAGTTGGACTGAGAAAGGATAATTTATTCTCCAAACCTGGATCCTTTTGAAAGCGAAAAATAATGACTAAAATGAAGAATTACATACACAGAGACAATAGGCATAACTCACCGTTGCCCCAGGCAAACCAGACTGTGGTCACACCATTTATGAGGCAAACCAGGTTCTCAAAAAGAAAAGTTCAACACCACTAATCATCAGGAAATGCAAAAAAAGAAATACAAAATCTAAATCATAATGAGATATCGCCTCACATTCACATCTATTATAGCTATTTTGTTACTATTATATAAGACAAAAACCAACAAATGCTGGTAAGGATGTATAGATGGGGAAATCTCTTGCCAGGCATGGTGGCACAAGCCTGTAATCCTAACACTTGGGAGGCTGAGGCAGGAGGTCAGTTTTGAGTTCAAGACCAGCCTGGGCTACAAAGTGACCTCAAAGTCAGCCTGGACTGCATAGTGAGACTCTGTCTCAAAAATAGGGGCTGGGGAGATAGCTCAGTTGAGTAAGTGCTATGCAAGGGCCTGAGTTCAATCCCCAGCTCTGCAAAAAAAAAAAAAAATAGGGCCGCCCAGATATCTCAGCAGACTAAAGTACCTGCTTAAGCAGAGCACAGGGACTGGGGTTCGATTCCTGGCCTGCCATGCTGGCCCCACCCCTGTGAGACCCTGTAGACCCTGTACCAAATGCATTAATAAATAAATAAATACACAAAAAGAAAAGAGAGAGACGGAAAGACAGAGGAAGAGGAAATCTCATACACTAATACACTATCGATGGGAATGTAAACAAGTACAGCCATCATGGAAAAACAGTATGGAGGCTCTTGAAAGAGTTGAGAAGAGGATCTAACAAGCCCACTAAGTTATATCCAAAGGAACTGAAGTCAGTATGTTGAAGAGACATCTACATTTGCACATTTTATTATACCACTATTCACAAGAGTCAAGACATGGAATCAACCTATTCACTGCTGGATTAAAGAGTAAAGAAAATGTGGTATATATAAAAATGAAATATGTTTCAGCCACAAAAAAATTCTGTCACTTGCAGCAATGTAGATGGAACTGGAGGACATTATATAAAGTGAAATATGTTAGACACAGAAAGGTAAATACCACATTTTCTCACAGGTAGAAGTGAACACGTTGATTTCATAATTAAAACACAAAATTGTGGTTATCAGAGCCTGGGAACGGTGCGTGTGTTGGAGGCAATGGTAAGAGGATGGTTAGTGGGTAAGATGTACAGTTTGCAAGGAGTAAATTCAAATGTTCTATTGCACAGGAGAATAGCTATGGTTGAAAATTAGCTAAGGATTTCAAAATAGCTAGTAGGGAAGATTTTGAATGTACCTAATACAAAGAAAAACAAATATCTGAAGTTAAAGATATGACAGTTATTTTGATCTGATATTACACATTATATACATGCAGTGAAATACCACACTGTACCCTATAAATATGTAAAATTATTCTATGCCAACTAAAAATAAAGATGTATTTAAAAAAAAGAATGGTCACAGTGATTTTTCTTTACTCCATATGGGCATAGATGTCTTAAAGAATTATCCATATCTTTCAACATTATGCTGGCACAACGTCTATAGAACATCATGTCTCTTTCAGTAATATTCAACAAAAGGCTTCTTCTCTCTTGTAAGCTGGTAATGAACTTCAGGCTTTCTTGGCTTTGTTAATTCCCAGTGGTAATAATTCATATAAATACCAGTACAGCTGAATTATATGTACATTTAAGAATTTTCAGAATATATTCTCTATGAGTTTTGGTTATCGTTTGCCAGATGTCTAAAAACATAATTAACTTCAAAGCCCCTTTACTGAACTGGATAACAAAAACCAAGACTCAAAGAAACCAAGGCTGGCTTACAGGTCAGTAGGATAAATTGAAAAAAAAAATCAAGCTAGATATGGTAGTGCACACCTGCAATCCCAGCACTCGGGAGGCTGAGGCAGGAGGCTCTTTGCGAGTTCCAGACAAGCCTGAGCTACAAAGTGAGCCCCAGGCCAGCCTGAACTGCATAGCGAGACACTGTCTCAAAAAGAGAAAAAAAAATATCCTGTTTTTTTTTTTCTGAGACATGGCTTCACAATGTAGTTCAGAACTTGTGATCCTCCCCATCGCTGAGATTATGGATGTGTGCCACCAAGCACCCATAGTGAGATAAAATAGGAGTAAATGTATAGTCTTATATTATTGTTTTTAAAACTATTACTGAGGGGAAAGAAAAAACTCTTGGGAACTAGGAGACTTAGTTTTGAATAAAGTCATGTTAAGGCAAACCTCCAAATTAAAAACCTGATAGTTTTAATTAATTATATATTCATTATGAAGCAAATTACATCACTACTAAAAAACAAAAACAATAAAACATAACCTCATAGCAACTGTTGGGATGTGGTGGTGCATGCCCGTAATCCTAGCACTTGTTTTTTTTTTTTTTTTGTACCAGGAATTGAACTCAGAACCTTGTGCTTGCCAGGCTGGCACTTGTGGCAGAGCTGTATCCCTGGCCCAATTGTAGCACTTAGGAGGCTGAGTTCAAGGCTAGCCTGGACAATAAAGCAAAATCCTATCTTAAAAACAAATAAACAAGGGTCAGATGTGGTGAGGCATGCCTGTAATCCCACCACTTGGGAGGCTGAGGTAGAAGGCTCTTGGAGTTTGAGACCAACCTGGGCTACAAAGTGAGTTCAAGGCAGCCTGAACTACATAATGAGATGTCTTAAAAAGACCAAGGTCCAGCCAAGTAGCTCAGTGGATTAAAGTGCCTGCTTAGGCAGGTGCAGAGACCAGGGTTTAATCCCTTGCATGCCGGGCTGGAGAGATGGCTCAGTGGTCTAAAGCACCTACTTGAAACAAGCTTGGCAAAGCACAGGGACTGCGGTTCGATCCTCAGCACCACATGCCAGCCAGACCCGCCCCCTGGTGGGCTGAGCTGGCCACACACACACACACAATAAATAAATGTAATAAATAAAAATAAATAAATATTTTTAAAAAAAGATTAAAAAAAAAATCCCTTGCATGCCACGCTGGCCCTGCCCCCGGGGCTCACTGAGACAGTGACTGAGACTGGGTGTGGTGGCATGCACCTATAATCACAGTGCTTGGGAGGCTGAAAACAGAAGGATCACTACAAGTCCGATCTGTGTAGTGAGACCCTGTAGACCCTGTACTAAATATATTAAAAATAAAAAAAGACCAAGAAAAAAAAAACTCAAGGAAAACACACACACACACTCAAAAAAAGTAAAAAAAAAAAAAGTATTGAACTTCAGGCTACATTAGTGATCAAATGTGCAACATCCAGATCCAATTCAGGAACATCTTTAATATTATTTCCTGTTTCAAAGACATTTCAGGAAAGTATTAACAAAATTTAATGTCATTACCAATCATGACAATGAAAATATCATAGGAAGAGTTGAAATAAGTGAGGATGTTTATCCCAAAAGGAGAAAAGCCTAGGACAGGAAGAGTAGGGAAGATAGAATAAATACATTAAGATATCTATAAGGCTTTGTAGGGAAAAGGGAGCCAAATTCTGTGTGACTTGAGGGCAGAATTAAGGTCAATAAGTATAATTATAACCAGTACACTTTAACCCAATACAAGAACAAACTTTAAAGCAATCAATAGCAGTATAAAATGCATTGGGTTGTGTATCATTATTTACTACAGAACCATATTTCATGTAAGATACACAAATACAGTATATAAGAATTTACAAGACTGGCTTACAATGGCTATCCATAAGGTCACGTGTGGGGAAGTACACAAGAGCTGTCTGTAGGCTAGTTATCCAAATGATCCAATTGAAGGCCTGCAGCTAATTAAAGTCCTGTGTGAGGTCCCACGTGAGTCTATGTCAGGAGCCCAAAGGTTTTATGAGGGAAGGTTGAAGGGTCTGTGCTGGAAGGCTGAAGATGATGACCAAGGTGAAGGTAAAGACTGGAGCTTCTCTGAAAAAAATAGAAGTGAGCCTTCCTTCTTTGTTTCCCTTTTATTTCATTCAGACTACAAAGCTATTGGATGTGTAAACTATGCTGATCCAAGTAACTCAAGTTGGGTGTTTCTTACTCAAGTTGACAAAATCAAATTACAACCCACCCCTTGTCAGTCTGACAACCAGACACATTTCCTTAAACTACAGTCTCCAGAAACAAATTCATAATTGTGCCTAATGTCTTATAAATGCCTTGCATAAAAAAGAAACACATAAATTCCTCCCCAGAGTAGACATTTTCCTTGGGTAATGCTTATTCCTAACATTTCACAACTGGAACACTATAACACAGGTTTAACAATACTTAAGAACTAACATTAAGTCTTTCTCAACACATTATACAGGAAGCATATTAGGAGAGAACTATAATCCTCATTTCTGTAACTGATCACAGAGTCACAGCTGGTATCTAGTACTTCTAATACTCATTTTCTATTCCCTTGGCCTTTGGCAAACACCTCATCAGGTCTCTGTTCTTTCCCTGGTGAGGTCACCTGGAGCTTCACTCCTAAAGGTCTGGACCATTTTCTACCATTCCTGAATTGGGTTGTAGTCTCCCACTGATTTTAATAACAGGGTATAGTAACACTACCCTAGGAGATCTCCTGCACTACAAGTATATTCTTCCTTTCCTCCACTGTGGAGAAATAGTCCAATTTCCCCTTGTTAGTCTCTGTCAATCCCCCTTGCTAACACTGTAACTTCCATGTTAGCTTGCTTCTTCAGAGGCATGAGAAGCCTGGTTGGTGGCTAATCCTAGCACTTGGAAGCCTGAGGCAGGAGAACTGTTGCAAGTTCAAGACTCATGTGGGCTACAAAGTGAGCTCAAGGCCAGCTTGAACTGCATAGTGAGATCCTGTCTGAAAAAAGACAAAAACAGCAACAACAACAACAACAAACCAGACCTTATCTGCTCAGGAGTTGTTAGCATTATTATGGTGGACTAATGGTCGACTTGTAACACCCAACTGAACTGAATCAGCATGATTCTGGGTGTGGAAGTCCCACCTAAGAATTGTTGTAAACATAAAGGAAAACTGGAGGGAAAGATGCTGAGTTGCTGATTATCCAGGAGAAACTTTTGCACTGGTTTTCCTATACGAACTCAGTTGTTCGTGTTCTCGCTACTACCAAGGATGGCCGTTGTTCTTTTCAGAGGAGCTCTGGGCCTTACTTTCAGCATTGCTTCCTGGATCCAGTGCAGATCCTTCAGCCTGCTGACACACATCCTTCTTCACCTGACTGGTACAATCTCTAGCTTCCACCACACTGAGCTGTAGGCCTTCCCAGTCAGATCCTTGATAAAGAGACTTGCACGAGACATTGTCATGGGACCTTAGCCTCCAGCTGGGCTCGTGGAGGACACTGCCATGAGCTCTGGGTTTTCAACCAGCCTTGGGTAGGGTATTGCTGTGGGATCCAGGCTCTCAGCTGGATTCTTTGGGTCTCCAGTGTGTGGACTCTGGAGACCTCTTGCACTGTCCTGCATTTGGCTTTTAAGGTGAATATTATATATTAATCCTATAAATTATGTGTCCTGTATTAAATCTATAACCCTGCAAACCCTGACTACAACAGTAATTTCAAACTTAACAGTTTAGATTGCACTGTTTTTATTTTCATTTTTTTTGGCAGAACCGGGGATTGAACTCAGGCCCTTGCACTTGCCAGGGAAGCACTTATTCCACTGAGCCACCTCCCCGGCCCCATGCACTGTTTTTAAAACAGTAATTTATTTTTTCAAAAGCACAAAATTGAACATCACATATACATTATGAAGAATTTAAGCTTTTGGAGAAAGGTGAGAAAGCAGAATCCAGAGTAAAAAGTCAAAGAGAGGGGGCCCATCAAGCATTTCCCTGGCAAGCACAAGGGCCTGAGTTCAATTCCCAGTTCTACCAAAAAAAAAAAAAAAAAAAAAAAAAAAAAAAAAAAAAAAAAAAAAAGAAAAAAAAAGGTCAAAGAGAGGGCTGGCCAAGTAGCTCAGTGGATTAAAGCACCTGAAAGCAGGCACAGGGGCTGGGAGTTCAATCCCCCAGCCTGCCGTGCCAGCCCCCTACCCCCAGGGTGTGCTGAGATGGCAATTGAGACTGGGTGTGGTGGCGCACACCTGTAATCCCAGGTCTTGGGAGGCTGTCAACAGGCAGATCTAGTAATGAGACCCAAACACCCTGTAGACCCTTCCCTAAAATAAAAAATAAAAAAAGTCAAAGTGGCCGGGGGAGACAGCTCAGTAGCGTTAAGCACCCAGCATGTGCAAGATCCCGAGTTCAATCCCCAGTACTGCAACAAAGAAAGAAGTCAGAGGAAAAAACAATGTAAAGAAGAGCCAGGGGCCAGTGAGATAGCTCAGCAGACTAAGCACCTGTTTAGGCAAGTGCAGGGACCAGGGTTTGATCCCTAGCACCACATGCTATGCCAGTCCTGCCCTTTGAGTGTGTTGAGCTGGCTACTGAGACTGGGCATGGTGGCACATGCCTGTAATCTCAGAAATGGGGAGGCTGAAAACAGGAGGATAACTATGAGTCCAAGCTGCACAGTAAAACCCTGTACTAAATACATTAAAAAAATAGAGCTAGGCCTAGTGGCACACATCTGTTAACCCTAGAAACTGGTAGGAGGATCACGAGTTCAAGGGCAGCCTGGGCAACTTTGTGAGACTATCTCAAGGTAAAATTAAAAAGGTCAACTAAGTGTGTAGTCCAGTGGTAGAACATTTCCTACCACGTGCAAGGCCCTGGGTTTAAGTCCCTGTACTAAAAAGAAAGTCAAATGGAGAAGTTGACTCACAAAAGATAGAAAGGGACAGGAGGGAAAAAATGATTTAAGTGAAATGAAGGTGCTGAGAAGACACTGTAGAGAGTTCTTATAGACAGAACATCGAATTGTGAGGAGGAAATAATGCTTTGGATATGAAGAGATCTAAGTACAATAATAAAGTATGCTGAGACAATGTAAGGCTTCTCTGTAAAAGCATATTTAGGCTTTGTACTGGGTAAGCAGGATGGTGTTCAGGCAGGGATAAAGAAAGATGTCAAAGAAAGCTTTGCCATGATGGTAGAAGGAATCTTGAGGGGAACAGTGTTTGGGAAAAGCAGCACTAGGGAAGCAATAATAGCATTAAAATGATCAGTAAAGTAACATGTTTATATAAGGGGTTTGGAAGAGTTGAAGATGGTAGATAGATGAGCTTTAAATCTACATATAGCAGGAGAGATAGCTCAGCAGCATAAGAACCTGCCTGGCAAGCACTAGGTCCAGAGTTTGATCCCTGGTACCCAAAAAGTAAAATCTACATATATATGCCTGTGGTTAGCCCCGTCAGCTGTGTGAGGTCATGGGCAAATGCCAAGGAGAAGGGGCTGACTGCCAAGCTAGTGAGAAAATGGGAAGTGGGGAGCAGGAGAGACAAATAGATAAAACCCACATACTTGGTATGTACAGACAATTAAAAAGTTTCTATTTCTTCTATTTTATGATTAAGATTCTCAAACATGTACAATACAAGTTATCTGAATGAGGAAAAAGATTGACTTGGGCACATACAAGACTACTACCACATAAAAATATACTTCTAGACAAGGTCTGGAAGGCAGTATTTAATAAATCAGAAAGATACATTATGATAGCAATATTACAGGTGATCTTTGTCTCCAAAATGTCTTTGATGGTACTGTCACTTAAAAATTCCCAGGGTGGGAGCTGTGGAGATAGCTCAGCAGTCTACATGCCTGCCTGGCAAGCACAAGGACCGGGTTCGATCCCCGGCACTGTATGCTGTGTGAGTTGTATAGTGAGAACCTGTACCAAACACATAAATTTACATTAAAAAATTAAAATTCAAAAAAAACCCTCCAACTCTCAGGGTGGTCCCAATTATCTGGGTCAGATGGCAGAGAGCAAGCAGCCGAAGTTATATAGTTGTGCTAGCCCCATAGCAGTGAAGCTCAAGGCCAGATCCAAGCCACTTCTGTGAGTATGTGCAGTTGATGGACTGTTGGTGGCTGGGCTTCAGTTTGCATGCAAGTCTGCCACTATGGCACTCTCTAGGGGAAGCTCTGTGCTCAGCCATGGTTGCTAACCAGTGGTATCCTATGTCCTAGAGTTGAAGAGGAAGGTTGAACTGTTTTTCACTACAAAAAGCAAAATGCAGAAATTCTGAGCTTCATACAGGTACTATAATATGCTCACAAAATAACTAATGTAGGGGTTGAGGATATAGCAGAGGCACAAGAACCTGCCTGGCATGCAAAAGGTCCTGACTTTGATTCCTCATACCTCCAGCCAAAATAATAACCAATGCAATTTTTTTATGTTCAGGAATTGTTGCATTGAAAAATGCACAATTTTTCAGTGTTTCTGGTCTCTCTGTGCACACAGCTCCCAGCTTACTTGGGATTCTGGGAGCAGGAGAGCCTCCAGAGGGACGGTGCTGGCTTGCAGGGGGGTGGGGAGGACCCTTGGTGACAGTAGGTACCCCTAGCCCTCCTCGGCCCAGTTCCTGCCCTCCAATGCTGTCCCTTCCTCTAACTTCTCCTCTGAGTTGAGTCAGTGCTTGAAACATTTAAGAGCTCTGGAATCTGAGCCTGAGCTGCTCTGGAGGTCTCTACTTGCCCTCAGGAGCAGGCCTGCAGCACTGTCCCAGCAGCCCCAACTCACCTCAGCTCTGAGCAACCCCGGCCCCTGACTTGAAGGACAGCAGCCAGCAGGCCAGCCACACAGTGGTCTTCAGGCAGCATGGGAGACGGGAGCACCCTCAGGAAGCTCTTGGACAAGGTCCAGGCCTACTCCACGGCAGGGGGCAAGGTGTGGCTCTCTGTGCTGTTCATCTTCCATATCCTGCTGCTGGGCACGGCAGTGGAGTCGGCCTGGGGTGACAAGCAGTCAGCTTTTCGTTGTAACACGCAGCAGCCTGGCTGTGAGAATGTGAGCTATGACAAGTCCTTCCCCATCTCACATGTGTGCTTCTGGGTGCTGCAAATCATCTTCGTGTCAGTGCCCTCACTGCTCTACCTGGCTCACGTCTTCTACCTGATGCGAAAGGAGGAGAAGCTGAATAAGAAGGAGCAGCAGCTCAGGGTTGCCCAGATGGATGGTGCCAATGTGGAGATGCACCTGAAGCAGATTGAGATCAAGAAGTTCAAGTACGGCATCGAGGAGCACGGAAAGGTGAAGATGCGTGGCAGCTTGCTACGCACTTACATCATCAGCATCCTCTTCAAGTCCCTCTTTGAAGTCTCCTTCTTGCTAATCCAGTGGCACATCTATGGCTTCAGCCTCAGTGCCATCTACACCTGCAAGTGTGACCCATGTCCCCACCAGGTGGACTGCTTCCTGCCACACCCCACCGAGAAGACCATCTTCATCATCTTCATGCTGGTGGTATCCCTGGTCTCACTGGCTCTCAATACCATTGAGCTCTTCTACATCATCTTCAAGGGCATCAAGGACCGCAAGTGTAGGAGCAAACCCTACTACCCTGCCAGTGGCCCCCTGAGCCCCTGTAAGGACTGTGGTTTCCCCGAGTATGCCTACTTCAAAGGCTGTTCTTCACCCACTGTGCCACTCTTGCCCATGTCCTCATCTGGTTACAACCTGGTGACCAGGGACAGGAACAATCAGACCACTGAGCAGAACTGGGCCCAATACAGAATGGAGCAGAACCGCACAGGTCAGTCAGGCAGCACCATTTCCAACTCCCATGCCCAGCCCTTTGACTTCCCCAGTGACAACCAGAATTCCAAAAAGATCTCCACGGGACTTAAACTCCAGTCCCTGGCTATTGTGGAGCAGCAGCCATCCAGCAGAGCCAGCAGCCAACCCCAGCACAAGGACCTGGAAATCTAGACCCAGTCTTTGAGCGGTGAGGTCCACTCAGTGGTGGAGAAGAGGCGGGTGCCAGAGGAGAGGCCACCTGGGTTCTTTTGTTTCAGTGAAGTGGTACTCAACAGCAGCCCTCCTGAGAGCCTGGGACACAGACAGACATAGTAATGCATGTTCTCTGGGGCATGGGACAGATGGATGAGTGAGAGGGGCGGACAGGAGGTACTTGATATTTTATGTAGCAGTTTCCAAGCACTGTGGCTCTCCTCAGAGTCATGTGGCTGAGATTTAGTAAGGGCTTTTCTCCCCTCATACCCTGGGATCACCCCTTTGTGTGTAAGTGGCTGAGTGTGTGTGTGTGTGTGTGTGTGTGTGTATTTTTAATTTTTGTTTTACCAAGATACTGAAATACTCTGGGCCAGGAACAGACACTTTCTGAACATCTCATTTCTTTCCCACAAGAGAAAGACAGACAATTGTACTTGTGTCTCCACTAAAACATTCCATTTATTGTTGTTATTGTCGTCAATTAAAAGTTCAGAAAAGCCCCATGGAAAAAGACCTGGCATGGCTTGCTTATACGGGAGCCAGCTGCCCATCCCCTTACCCCTGCTCCGCCCACCATGCCGAATGACTCTGTGCTTGGACAGGCTCAGGCATCATCACTTCACATGTATCCGAGTCCATGTCAGGGAGACAAGTAATGCCTGATATTTTAGCCATCACGTGGGTACGTGTGCATGTGTATTATATGTCATGTATTGGCACAAAGGGTGCAGCACAGACTCACAAAGACCTGGAATAAAACACATGGTGTTCCAACCTGTACCTTCTAGGTGGATCTCGGGCTGTGGTGGGCCACTGGTGTTCACATTCTAAGATGCTATAGATCTCCTGTGTAGCAAAGCCCACATTTTTTCCTAAGATGTTTTCCTTCTGCATTCTATTGTGGATACTGATTTTGTTGATTATGACTATTTTCATTTTGTGTCTCTTTTTCCTTTTTTGAATGTAGCAGTGATGCTATTACTTAAATGAATGATTGCCTTTTTCCTGAAAAAAAAATAATCATTAATGCCTGAATGATAGGACTTTAGTAAACAGGCTTTAGTCATTAATGTGAGAGACCTAGAACAAATGCTTAGAGAGAACTAGTATTCACTGTGCCTACACGGATTTGCAGTAACTGGTGTTCTCGGCTGTAGCTTACTTAAATACACATGAATTCAGAGTGAGTCTTCGTTCAGAGGCTGACAGTCTTGAGTGGGCAGCAACTTCGATGTTTGTACTAAGATTTTACTTGGGATTGAGAAGGAACTAAAACATGTTTCAGGAGTGCACATTTAACTAATTTATTTGAACTGTATGCTAAAGACATCAGTTCTTTAATTGATTTTATTTTTTATTTTTTAGAGAAGGGTCTGTAGGGTGTTCAGGATCTCACTACTAGATTGGACTCATAGTGATCTGCCTCTTTACAGCCTCCCAAGAGCTGCGATTACAGGCGCGCGCCACCAAGCCCAGTCTCAATTGCCATCTCAGCTAGCCCTGGGGGCAGGGCCAGCAAGGTAAGCCCAGGGGATCGAACCCCTGCCTCTGTGCCTGCTTGCAGGTACTTTAATCTGCTGAAGTATTTGGCCAGCGCTCAATTAATTTTTTTTTCTTTTTTTTTTTTTGTGGTACTGGGGATTGAACTCAGGATCCTGCACTTGCCAGGCAAGCACTTATTCTACTGAGCTATCTCTCCAACCCCTCAATTGATTTTTTGAAACTCATCATGAATGAATGAGGAAAATCTGATGTTCCTACTTCTTGTGCATCAACTACATAGAACAATTCTGAACAGCGGAAAATACTAATGCTTTTGACATTCCATGTTAAACTACTGTCATGTTCACCTTTGTTGCATATAACCTAGACCTAGTCCATCAGATTGTGTGCTCTGGACTGTTCTTTATTAAATAAAGTTTAATTTAGTAGAAAAAAAACTAATTTAGACTTTGTATAAGCCGTGAAGACATCCAGGGAGACTTAAAATGTATAAATGATAACTATCATAAAGTTATTTCAACAGCCAAGCCACTGTTTAGGGTTTTCATACAAAACAAGGAAGAACCAGGTAACAATGCTTTTGATATAGGCATACTAATAGATAAATGTTTTAAGTAACATACTATTTTGCCCTGAAGGAAAAAAAACGCACAGAAAAAAGCCATATTCAGTCACTGCTATGCCAAACACTAGTGCTTTATTTTTGTACATGGGATTAAACTCAAGATGTTACACATACTAGGTAAGCACTCTGCCATTGAATTACATCCCCAGTCCATTCTATTTTGACACAAGGTCCTTCCAAGTTGTCTAGGTTAAACTCAAAATTGTAACCCTCCTGTAACAGCTTCTCCTGTAGCTGGGAACATAGGCATGCACCAACATACCCTGTGATTATTAACTGTTAATGGTGACATTTAAAAAGTTAATGGTGTGTAAGTTTCAAGCAAGCATCTCCATCAAGTAATTGATTACTAACAGCAACAACCTCACCATAATCATAAGACCAGCATACCAGGAACATAACTATTGGGAACAGTCAGGTCTGCCAGCCCTAGCCAATCTACTAACAACAGCCTGTCTGGCTACTCACAGCAAACTGAACCAAATTTGACCTAAAAGAAGTGATGAAGATGACATTAGTATTGAAGACGGTAGTGTACCACTGCTAAAGCTGTTCTTACAACTGAAAGCCTGAATTTCTTAACATAAAATAGAACAAACTCAATTCTAAGTCTGGAAAGAACAGTCTCATTCCTTCTAATTAAGACAGCTTGCTTAGCAAGTAGTGTAAAACACAGAACTTTAAATATATGCTCTAGATCAAATACTTTCAGAAGATGAAAAAGCCATAACATGAAACCGTGGCTGAATGTCTTCTCAGCGAGGGTATAATAGGACTTGCAAATTTGGCTACTTGAAGAGCTTTTAGGAGTGGGAAAGATATAAAAAAATGAAGATATGTTATGCACATGTACTAACTCATGATGAATGAAACCATTATGTACTACACACATACTAATAAAACTAAAAGTTCTAAAAAGAGCTTTTAAACCACAGGGCCAATGACCTAGAATAGGCATGAAAACAGTAACACTGCAGCCTTACAATGTCATTAAAATAAACGGAAACAGAAAATAATTAACGGTTGCTTAGAGCTGGGGAGGGAAGACTAGGGAATGACAACCTTTTAGGAGTAATAAAAATCCCTTAAGGGCCAGCCAGATAGCTCAGCAGACTAAAGCGCCTGCTTAGGCAGAGTACAGCAGCGGGGTTCAATCCCCATCATGCCAAGCCAGCCCCACCCCCACGGCATGCTGACACAGCAACTGAGACTGGGCATGGTGGTGCACACCTGTAATCCCAGTGCTTCGGAGGCTGAAAACAGGAGCATCACTATGTGTCCAATCTACATAGTGAGACCCTGTAGACCTTGTACTGAATACATTTTTTTAAATGCCTTAAAGATAGACTATGGTAATGACAGCACAATTCTGAATAGTGAACCCTGAAACCACTGAACTGTATTTTTGTTTTAATTGTAAATGTGTTATTTTCGTGGTGTTGAGGATCAAATCCAAGGCTTTTAGCCATGCTAAGCTTATGCTGCAGCACACAGCTACATCCCCAGCCCTGTATGCAGGGCTTAAATGATTTGTAAGTTTTGAGATACATTTCAATGAAACTGTTAAAATACTAAAATAGTAGGTGATCATAGTTTGTCTAACAATTGTCAAGTCTAAAAAAAGGGCTTTTGCTGGTGAAATTATGTGCTTTTGATTTGGAAAACAACATACAGCACATACGTGAGAGGACTAAGTCACTTTTGTTTGAAGTGGCTACATATTTAACCTGCTTCACAGAATTAAGTCAATTTTTAACTACACTCTTTAAATTCTAATGTGAAAAAGTTGGGTTCTGTTTCTTTTGATAAGAGCACCTCAGCTCTTGTCTCGCCAATACTTATATTCCTTAATGCAGTTCTTCTGTTGCTCACTGTGCAACTTACCTTCCAAAGTGCTTTGTGCCAACTTTAATTAAATTAAACTGCATTGTTTTGAGACTGGGTCTTGCGACGTGGCTCAGCTAGGCCTTGACCTTACCATGTAGCTCTGGGAGGCCCTGAACCTATGCAATACTCCTACTTCAGCCTCCCAATCACTGGGATACAGGCATGCACTATGGATTAGAGACATGCACTACCACACCACTGTCCCCGGAGGGCTGTTTTTAGGAGTGGCTTTCTATATTATGAAGCACTGAAACTATGTCCCTGAATTATTAAATCCTATGACAGTTCATACTGGTGTTTATGTGAAAACATATATTTATAAATTAATTCCAAATAGGTATAATTTATGTTTTTAAAAAGTTAATTTCATTTTTCTCTGGTAATATAAGAGTCTAATTCCTGCCTTATCCTTGATCTCACAAGCAGTATTCTGCTTTTTATGCATCTGTGTATATGTTGCTGGGCTTTTATTGTCTTTTAATATATTATCATAGTATGAATGCTTTAAATACGAAATGTACCAAAATTAAAATATTTTACAAACATGACAAACTTGTGAAACTTTTCATACAAAAATTTTGTGTTTTCCTCCATTAATACCAGGGATCCAACCAAGGCCTTTGTGTATGTTAGGCAAGTGCTCCACTACTGACTTACACTCCTGAGTTTTCTTTATTGGCATTCTAGCAACAATGCCTAAACCTTAGGAGAAATATGTAGTATTTGCCACTCACACGTAGAGTTATATTATCATTAGGCTACTTATGTCCCATATATCCACTTTAAATAAGTAAACACAAAGTTACTTTCATTATTTGCCTGATTTCTTTGGTATTAATCATATTACATACAAATAATGCAGTATGTTTACATGTAAAAATTTAGAATGAATATAAGTTCATATGGTTTCTGAGTAATTCCTCCCAAAGCAAAAACAAAGATTTTGTTTTGCAGTACTGGA